TGGACTATAATATGCAAGGGATGGAAAAGGCAATTCCCGAGCTATTCGCAATGCTAAAGGCCGCAAAGGTAGAAATCAAGAAGCAACATCAAAGTGTTGATGGTTAACAAGACCACTAGTTTCAAGAAAAATGGCAAAGGGAAGAAGGGGAACTTCAATAAGAATAGCAAGCAAGTTTCTACTCCTGGCAAGAAACCCAAGCCTAAAACTGCGTGCTTCTACTGCAAAGGGACTGGTCACTGGAAGCGGAACTGCCCCAAGTATTTGGCGGTAAGAAGGATGGCAAAGCGAAAGGTATATTTGATATACATGTTATTGATGTGTACCTTACTAATGCTCGTAGTAGCGCATGGGTATTTGATACTGGTTCTTGATATGTCTCCAACATATCTATAATTTTTGATTGTTCCATGCTATTATATTACCCATTTTGGATGTTTATGCGCTTTACTTTACACTTTTATATCTTTTTTGGGACTAATCTACTAACCGGAGGCCCAGCCCGAATTGTTGTTTTTTGCCTATTTCAGTGTTTCGAAGAAAAGGATTATCAAACGGAATGAAACCTCGGGAGCGATCTTTTTGGAACAAATGCCATCCAGGGGACTTGGAGTGGACGTCAAGCCAAACGAGGCGACCACAAGGGTGCCCAACGCGCCCCCTGGGGGTGGGCGCGCCTCCCACCCTCGTGGGCCCCTCGAGCGTCAACCGACCTACTTCTTCCTCCTATATATACCCACGTACCCCGAAAACATTTAGGAGCACCACAAAAACCCAATTCCACCACCGCAACCTTCTGTATCCGCGAGATCCCATCTTGGAGCCTTCGCCGGCGCTCCGCCAGAGGGGGAATCGACCATTGAGGGCCTCTACATCATCTCCAAGGCCTCTCCTATGAGTTGTGAGTAGTTTACCACAGACCTTCGGGTCCATAGTTATTAGCTAGATGGCTTCTTCTCTCTCTTTGAATCTCAATACAAAGTTCTCCTCGATCTTCTTGGAGATCTATTCGATGTAACTCTTTTTGCGGTGTGTTTGTCGAGATCCGATGAATTGTGGGTTTATGATCAAGTTTATCTACGAGAAATATTTGAATCTCCTCTGAATTCTTTTATGTGTGATTAAGTTATCTTTGCAAGTCTCTTTGAATTATCAGTTTGGTTTGGCCTACTAGACTGATCTTTCTTGCAATGGGAGAAGTGCTTAGCTTTGGGTTCAATCTTGCGGTGTCCTTTCCCAGTGACAGCAGGGGCAGCAAGGCACGTATTGTATTGTTTCCATCGAGGATAAAAAGATGGGGTTTATATCATATTGCATGAGTTTATCCCTCTACATCATGTCATCTTTCTTAATGCGTTACTCTGTTCTTCTTGAACTTAATACTCTAGATGCAGGCAGGAGTCGGTCGATGTGTGGAGTAATAGTAGTAGATGCAGAATCATATTGATCTACTTGTCACGGATGTGATGCCTATATACATGATCATGCCTAGATAATCTCATAACTATGCGCTTTTCTGTCAATTGCTCGACAGTAATTTGTTCACCCACCGTAATGCTTATGCTATCTTGAGAGAAGCCACTAGTGAAACCTATGGCCCCCGGGGTCTATCTTTTATCATATAAGTTTTCCATCTACTTTTATTTGCATATTTTACTTTCCAATCTATATCATAAAAATACCAAAAATATTTATCTTATCATATTATCTCTATCAGATCTCACTTTTGCAAGTTACCGTGAAGGGATTGACAACCCCTTTATTGCGTTGGTTACGAGGTTCTTGTTTGTTTGTGTTGGTGTGTGGGACTTTTGAGGAGCCTCCTACTGGATTGATACCCTGGTTCTCAAAAACTGAGGGAAATACTTATGCTACTTTGCTGCATCACCCTTCAAGGGAAACCAACGCAGTGCTCAAGAGGTAGCAAGAAGTATTTCTGGCGCCGTTGCCGGGGAGGTCTTCGCTCAAGTCAAGACATACCAAGTACCCATCACAAACTCATCTCCCTCGCATTACATTATTTGCCATTTGCCTCTCGTTTTCCTCTCTCCCACTTCACCCTTGCCATTTTATTTGCCCTCTCTTTCCCGTTCTTCTCTCTCTCTTTCGCTTGTTTTCTGTGTGCTCGTCGCTATGGCTAGTTCTCTATCTACTCCTTTGTCTCCCGAGTTTGAAGTTCTTCACTTCAAGCAAAGGCAAGGAGAAAACTTGAAAGATGCTTGGTTTAGGATGATGGAATCTTATCGTAACTGCACTTTAGAGGTGAATTTTAGAATTGTTCTTCGCAATTTTTATGTTGGACTAAATATGTCCCATAGACAACTCTTGGATTGTATTGCCAAAGGCAATTTTATCAAGATTGATCCCAGTATTGCGCATCAAGTCATAGAGGGAATAGTGGTAACACTACCTCAAAAAAGGGGGATCACATCATACCCCGGAGGAGACACAAGTTTTTGAGAAAATTTGCGAAGTAACATTTTTTTACAAAAGTCCCTTGAACCTCTTAAGAGTGTTAGCGGAAATCTTCACCGCATGAATATGTTGATTACCCTTTGCAATAAGCGGTTGGATTCTTTAGATCTAAAAATTTCCGAGTATGAAGGGAAATGTAAAGAACCTCCCGGATTCGAACAAGACTCCGCTAAAAATTAAAAATTAAAGATGACACTACTTAGATCTATCCTCGCTTTTATGCCTAGCTAGGGGCGTTAAACGATAGCGCTAGTTGGGAGGTGATACGTCTCCAACGTATCTATAATTTTTGATTGTTCCATGCTATTATATTATCTGTTTTGAATGATTATGGGCTTTATTATACACTTTTATATTACTTTTGGGACTAACCTATTAACCAGAGGCCCAGCCCATATTGCTGTTTTATTGCCTGTTTCAGTATTTCGAAGAAAAGGAATATCAAACGGAGTCCAAACGGAATGAAACCTTCGGCAACGTGATTTTTTGGAAGATTATGATCCGGGAGACTTGGAGTTCACGTCAGAAGAGCCTCGAGGAGGCCACGAGATAGGAGGGCGCGCCCCCCTTACAGGGTGGTGCCCCCCTGTCTCGTGGGCCCCTCAAGGACCTCCCGACCGACTTCTTTCGCCTATATATTCCCCCGTACCCTAAAACCATTAAAAATCAAGATAGTTCGGGAGTTTCGCCGCCGCAAGCCTCTGTAGCCACCAAAAACCTCTCGAGAGCCCGTTCCGGCACCCTGCCGGAGGGGGATCCCATCACCGGTGGCCATCTTCATCATCCCGACGCTCCCCATGACGAGGAGGGAGTAGTTCACCCTTGGGGCTGAGGGTATGTACTAGTAGCTATGTGTTTGATCTCTCTCTCTCTCTCGTGTTCTCTCTATGACACGATCTTGATGTATCACGAGCTTTGCTATTATAGTTGGATCTTATGATGTTTCTCCCCCTCTACTCTCTTGTGATGAATTGAGTTTCCCTCTTGAAGTTACCTTATCAGATTGAGTCTTTATTTGAGACCACTTGATGTATGTCTTGCCGTGTTTATCTGTGGTGACAATGGGATATCACGTGCCACTTGATGTATGTTTTGGTGACCAACTTGCGGGTTCCGCCCATGAACCTATGCATAGGGGTTGGCACACGTTTTCTTGACTCTCCGGTAGAGACTTTGGGGCACTCTTTGAAGTACTTTGTGTTGGTTGGATGAATCTGAGATTGTGTGATGCATATCGTATAATCATGCCCACGGATACTTGAGGTGACAATAGAGTATCTAGGTGACATTAGGGTTTTGGTTGATTTGTGTCTTAAGGTGTTATTCTAGTATGAACTTTATGATGGATTGAGAGGAAAGAATAGCTTTATGTTATTTTACTACGAACTTTTGAATAGATAGAACAGAAAGGATAACTTTGAGGTGGTTTTGTACCCTACCATAATCTTGGACTAGTCCAGGCAATAGCGACGTCGTCGTCGCCTCCTTCTTGAAGGTGTTACTTGATACGCGGCGCTTCGGAGTGCTAGGAGAGTGGTGGTACTTATCCAGAGGGTGCAGCGGTCGCCGGTCGTCTTCGTTCCGTTGATCTGCCGTTGTTGGCATCTGTTTCTCTTTCTTTTTTCTCTGTTTTCTTTGAGCTTATTTGTGCTGTGGCCCCAGCATCTATCGTTGGATGTATCGGTGGTTGCTTTGTAATACAAAGCGGGAAAAACCTTTTTTCTTAAAATATAGGGCAGAAAAACACTAAAAGTGCCTCCAAGAATTTCTTACGTTTAGAAAAAGCTTATAAGGATTTTAGTCATCTAAATCCAAACAAAGAAACGACAAAATGTCACCGCCTATCTGTCTCGTCTTCCATGGTCTTAGGGCCATGGAGGCGTAGTGAATCATCACAAAGGCTGGCAGGAGGGTTCCTACTCTGTTTTTAGATGCTTTATTAAATATTTTAGGGCTTGTTCCTACTTAGGAAGACAAGGCAGCGAAGGGTCCCCGCAGATAAAATAAGTTTCTACCCGTCTAGCCCATATTCCTGTTGTGTGTCTACCGTTGTCGAAGGGCATGTGTAGGTGTGTCTTCGGCAGACCTTCACAGGATTTGGTCGGTGTTGTCTGTGGTAGATCAGCTTGGATCCAATCTTTGTTCGTATGCGTTTATGTGTTGGATCCTTCAAATCTACGCTTATTTCCATCATCGACGATTGTTGTTCTAGTGTATTGGTTCCTTAGAACTTTAGCATGACAACTTTTCGGTTGTCTAGTATAAAAGATTTGTTCGGTTTCGTTGAGGAAGGAGCAGTACACCAGTACTTGTAGTTGCCGCTAAGTAGTCTACAGATTTGGATGTAATTTGTTTTGCTTTTGGTGTTCAATGGATTTTTTTCTTTGAAAAAAAAGCCAAACAAATAAGCTCCTTGTTTTTATTTCGAGTCACTACTCCCGGGGAGTTTTTTCTAACCTTTTCTAACCCTTTCTGCCCTCCCCGGCTTTCCCTCCCGTCGGCGCCGCTCTGCTCCGCTGTGGCTGATGCTGTCACGATGGATCCCTGCCGCCGGGCGCCAGCGAGGGCTGCTGGCCAGGCTGGGCTCACGCGCTTATTCCCACGGGAGGGTATTCGACGCAGCGGCCCGGGACGGCGAACTTCGGGTGTTCGTTGTCGCCGGTGAGGTCTCCGGCGATTCGCTCGCTTCGCGCCTCATGGCGTCCCTCAGGAAGCTCTCCCCTGTTCCCGTTCGTTTTGCTGGCGTTGGCGGGTGTGGTTTAACCCCTGTTCCTACATTTTTGGTTCAGTTATCTGTGCTATTATAGTATTTTTCAGTGTCAGTTTGAGCATTTTTTTCTGATGAAATGCCCCAGTTTGAACATTTGATAAATACTAGTAGCTCTGAAACCACCTAATCACTTCATGCACTTTAAGCTTTATATTTGCCATTTGATGTCAATGTTTTTTTCCCCAATGAATGTTCATTTGTGCATGGTACTCTTATAGATCTTCATTACACAGAAATGCTTCATACAGTCAAGGTATTTTGGACTTGAAAGAAACTTGGAGAGGGGTTTAGTGGATTGCTTATTTGTTCTGTTTCGGAAGTGTTTACATGTTCAGATTATGTACTGTACATAGACTAGGCTCCATTTGTAGTTATGTGCACGCTTAAACATCAAATTTGTGGGGATGGAGAGGGAAGTGTGTTCCAGTGGATATTTTGTTCGGTGTCCAATTTTTAGTCAAGTGACAGAATGAGGGATTTTTTTTGTTAATTCTTGTTATGCTAGTTTGTGATTCTCTTCTAGGCAGTAGGTTCATCAGGTTCTTAAAGAAACAAGGACGAGTTCCTTCTCTTTCTGGATTCAAGTCAGTCTTCAATATTGGAGATGATGTAGAGAAACAGATTTTTTTTTGAAAAGACAACAGTTCTCTTGACACATTGTTCTTTTCTCTTCCATAGGAGAGCGTGAATAAGGAAGATCGGATGTGAATACAGGAAATATAACATTAGGGTTGCTTTATTTATCAGTACCTCTGTAACTTAATATAAACCTGTCTTATATTTTTTTACGGAGGGAGTATTATGTTTTTTATCTTCATCAGAAGAAAACAAAATGGAGGGTTAACTGTCATGTCGTGGAGTTGTCAGTTATCACCGTCATACAGTTATGACTGATCTCCTTGATGTATGCACATACTTCCTGCTCAAATGCCATTGGTTGATGTTTGCAGTCAGGAGTTCCTTTGTGTTCTCTCTGTTTGGATGCAAAGTGAGTTCATTTTCATGTGTGTGCTCAACATATCCATGCATTAACTAGTTCAGCATTGTTGTAGCATCATGTTGCAACTTTCCATATGCACGCTTTGGTCCAAGTCCGGTTCAAGCTGGATCACATCATGTTGCAACTTTGATCTTTCATTTATTTACTCACTAAACAGATTTTTCTCAATGCAGAGAATTAATGTGCAAGGAAGGGCTGCAATCACTTTTTCCCATGGAAGAAATTGCCATAATGGGGTTGTGGGAACTGCTGCCACACATATATAACGTCAAGGTGCATCTCTGGTGTGTCTTGTGCTTTGCTTTCTGTTTGTGTTCACTTGATTGTTGGTTATACTCGTTTTTATGTTGCAGAGGAAGATCAAGGATACTTTAGATGCTGCTATACTATTTCGGCCTCATGCTGTAGTTACTGTTGATTCAAAGGGTTTTTCGTTTCGCCTATTGCAGCAATTAAAATGTAAGGCTTTAAGTGGAATCATTTTTACCATAACACAATTTCATTCAAATAACTAAATTTACATTTATTTTTTCATGAGCAAACATGGTAAGATTTTTCTGTTGTCTAGGTAGGTACAACCAAAAAGTTGATAGCCCTCTGCATGTCCATTATGTTGCTCCATCATTCTGGGCCTGGAAAGGTGGTGAAAGGAGGCTCTCAAAGTTGCATAATTTTGTGGATCATATGTTATGTATCCTTCCTTTTGAGGATGAAATTTGCAGATTACATGGGTTGCCTGCTACATATGTGGGCCATCCCTTATTGGATGATGCTGCTGGCTTAAATGTGGCAGGGACTTCGCTTCAACATAAAAATGTGGTAGGGAGTTGTGCGGCTTCATTAGTATCTGTTGCCTCTTTTGTTGACCATAGAATTATAGTCAAGGCGAGATCCCATAAAAAAAATTGAAGTTCACTAGCCGTTGTCATTGATGGATAATAAGGCCTATCTCTTTTGTTGAGAAAGGTGGCTCATATCCATTAGGACATGGAATGTGCATCTAAAGATTCCTATACTATTCCTGCCTAAACCTGGGTGTGGCCATAGAAATCCAAGGAGCTAAATCTCATCCAAAGCTAGGTAGAAGCAAGGGTTAGGGACTAGATTATACTTAGCATTATATTATTGTATAAGAAATGGATCTGAGGATCATGATCCTAAAAGGTTCAAGAGGGTTGTGACTTGTGAGGGAGCGGCATTCCCTTGTTTTCTTCTGAGATTGTGCAATGCTAAGAAAAATGTTGGCATGGAATGTTGTCTTGTCTTCTAGAAGTGACTAACCGATTTCAAACTGAATTGCTGATATCATGTAAATGAATTGCTAAGACTAGTAATTTTGATTTTGTATATCTGTTTGATATCTGGGACCATCAACTTTACTCACAATATAGTTGTTTATGTCTATCAAATTTCATAGGACTCAGAATTATCTCCTGACATGTCCATGCGTCAACGAAGTGGTGAAGCTTTTAGACTGGAGCATGGGTTGTCTCCAGGTAATTAAATGTGTCATTCTTTGTCCCTTCTTGAAGTCTTCTTGTGCACAAATACTAGATTGTTATGCCAATTATTATATCTCCTTTTGTGTTTTTCCTTCTTATATTTATCAGATTGGTGAACTGTGATGTGTTGACTTTGTAATTGATGCATTTTATGAATTATCATCAAGGAAATATACAACATGTAAGTTAGGAAAATTCAGTTGCTAATAACTACTGGGAGGGCTTGCTGTTTCATCTAGGTTTTGGAAACTAATACTACTGTTTTCCGAAAACTAACATGAAGTTTTTTTTCTTGAATACGCACGAGTGTGCGTACTATATATTATAGAAGAGAAAAGGGGGTAAAGAGCCCCTCAACATGACGGTTGATGTATGCTAATGGTGCAACTTCAGATCTACAGATTGCTCTGGCAGTTTATTAACTCCCATTCAAATGTAGACAAGCTCGCACACTATCAATCCTTAAGGCTCAGTTTGTGATTGCTGAACTGTGATGTGCTTAACTTATTTTATAATCTGCTGGGAAAGATAGCCACATAAACAGGAAAAAGTTGTTACCGAAATTGTAAACTAGACAAAAGCTGGTTGAAGAAACTATTATCATAATTGGCAGCAATGACAAACGCAACCTGAGTACCAACTACCAGATGATTCATTACATAGTCAAATCTGTTTTACATGAGATGCAAAGGAGATGGCCAAATATTTTAGCACCTGTTTTTTCTTGTGATTTCATTTATTTTAATTTTAACTGCAAATATTGATCTGGTGAAACAAGGAACATGTAGCTAAAGCTGAAAAAGAACTATATAGAACTAGCCAACTGGGCCTCTTTAATTCGTAGGATTCTCAAAACGTGGGAATAGGAAAAACATAGGAATAGAGTGTCATGTCCTCTTGTATCCTACGGATTGAGAGAAGTGTTTGATAGCACAGGAAAAACAATGGAATTCTACAAAGAGCTTTGAGTGGATGGAAAATTTCCTTCGAAATGTAGTACAAATGAATCCTATGGAAAAAATCCTAAGGATTCCAATCCTACGAATCAAACGACCATCATAGGAAAAATGCCGAAGGATTCAAATCCTTTAAAATCCTATGAAATTCCTTTGTATCAAAGGAGCCCTAGGAGACAAATCAGACACTTGTATGGTCTACTATACTATCCTTATATTATTAACATGATACACATTTATTTTGTGTTTTACACAATGCAAGGCCTTCAAAATTTCTATTAAAATTTTCTCGCCTAGAGTGCGGAGTAGCTAGAGTGTGCGTGTTGTTTGATCTTAATCCCTGTACTTGCTACCCAAGTCTTGTAATTGTTTGCTTCTCCTCTTAATGAAAAGAGGACAAACACTTGCTTGCACGTTCTCTAGAAAACATTTCTTGCATTATCGTATGCATCAGTAACAATTCATAGCAAGACATATCTGGATTTTGTGTTCTGGCATGATGCTAGTTTATTGACTGCTCTATAAATGTGCCAAGGTTTCTCAATGGGCTAAATCTTAATATGCATGTGATTGTTGTGTTATAAAAAGCATGTCTGTTTTCTAATGATAAATACTCCTTTGATAGATGCCACAATCTTAACCATAATGCCTGGAAGCAGGGTGCAGGAAGTAGCTCGTATGCTTCCAATCTTCTTTCGGACTGTGCAACATTTAAGTCACACTTTAAATGATCTGTCACTAGTCATCCCAGTTGCTCCACATCGGGATGTGAGGACCTATGTTGAAAATGTAGTTCGATCACTGCCGTTTCCAGTGGTACTGATACCTGGGGGGTCACTAGAAAAAAGATATGGTGCATTCAATGTAAGCTCACTTCTTTTTCGAGTTAATGGCTTTAATTCTCCACCACCAAATTCACTCTTTGGATATTGTCATTTTCGAATGTTGATATTTTTCATTCATTTGATGGATGTGAAGACTGAAGACATATCAAAGCACCATACCTTGCTAACACACATATCATGTATTGCTGTTTGTTCCAAAAGGATTCATGTTACTACTGTCCCTTTACAGCTGTGCTGTGGCTATAACCCCAGACTATGATTGGTTAAGTTAGCATTATCATTTTCATCTCATCTTATATAGGATCAAAATCTCTATGAAGAAAAATCTAGAGCACTGTTGATTACTGTAGCCGCTGGATTGTTCCACGGACCCATACATTATATTCCAGCCATGCTTTTGTTCTTTATTTCCCTAGGAAATGATTGTCTAATTATATTAAGATACGGTGTTGTCTGTCAACAGTTATATTAGTTATACACAAATAGTGATTCTCTAAGTGTTCAGTCTTTGTTTTTGGGACAGCATTTATTCCTTGGTTGGTAATGTTAAGGCCCCTCTGTTCAAACCAACCATTCCTTTGGTAGCGAAGTGTACTAACCCAATAGGGCTAGATGTGAAATTTATTAGACTTGATTGATTGTTAGTATGTGAAACTTATCGCAGCCAGAGTCTACTTTTCTAATATTCCTTCTTTTGCAGGCTAGTAAAGCAGCATTATGTACTTCCGGAACAGCTGTCATGGAAGTAATGCTAGCAAAGCTACCCTGTGTGGTGGCCTACCAAGCTCATTTCCTAACCGAGTGCTTCATCCACCTGAGAAAAAAGATAAACTTTATTTCTCTACCAAACATCCTTTTGGACTCTCCCATTGTGCCTGAGATCCTTTTTCGAGCGTGCACAGATAAAAATCTAGCTGCAAAACTAAGGTAATTTTCCTTCTTCTAATCTACACCTTATATTTCCGTAAGTACAAAGGTAGCTTCTAGTTATGCGAGACGACGTTCTCAAGTAAGCATCAACATAATTGTGCTATATATTCATTTTAACCTGTTGGGCAATATTCCACCTGCATTTCTGACTGTGGATTGGACCTCATCATATGTCTATCTCATTTTGACCGGTCCAGCGAGGTTATCTTCAACGATGAAGTCCGTCAGCTGCAAGTTGGATCAGCTGAGCGAATGCTCCAGGTCCTCTACGAACCGATCAAGCGACAAGGCAATTTGTTCGCAGAGGAGTTGGGGGACTCGGGCTTGTCATCAGATGTCTACTCCCCCAGCACGATTGCAGCATTGACAGTGCTTTATACGGACAAAAATCGGCGGATGGTGCACCGGAATTGAGCGGGCTTTCTCAGTGGTGGATGAATGTTTCATCTGCCAGAGTGCCAGGGCAGTCGCTATCGGCAGGGGACTGTATTGGCTGCAGTTGATGATTGATCATTGGAGGAGCAAAACATATGGTTAGGTAAACTTTTTTAGTATGGACTGATGTAGAGTTCGTGTCAGCATCACAATATCGTTGTAGAAATTTCGAACGCATGTGCTCTGGTGGGTCAATTGTGTGTGGCTCTTAGTCATGGACAAATCCGGAGTGATGTTTGGCAGAAAAAACTCTTCCATTTGCCTAAAAAAAAACTCTTCCATGCATGGAATTTGTGGAGAGTGCAGGGAGCATATGAGCTGGGGAACAAGTAACTTAAAGATATTTATATCCTGCAGATTTTGTAACTGTAAAATCTGGCCATTTGCTAATTTGATTCGTGCTGCTGCGCTTTTTAATGCGGTTTTGTGATTATCAAGTGTATCAGACGATCAAAACAGTCTGGGCTCAGGCCAATTCCATGGCGCGACCCTATCCTGTCCGTTTGGGGTAAAACGGATAAACCGGGCGGCCCAACGCGCGGGAGCAAACGGACTTTTGTCCGTTTTGTGTCCGCTTTTGACCCATCCGCGATCCAAGTTTGCGCCGCTTTTGGGGTGAAACGGACAGCGCGCGCTTGTCCGCCCATGGCCCGCCTGTCGGTGACACAAAGCAAAAAAAACCG